TTTTTCCGAGCTGCATCCCGCTTCCGCCTCCGCCTCCTCCTCCTCCTCCTCCTCCGCCTCCTCGCCACTGACAACTCACACAGCAACGACTCACATACATCAACTTACACACATCAACTCTACACACATCAACTCACACATATCAACAACAAACAACAACTCACATATATCGACGGGTCACCACAAATCAAATCAGATCACAACGATCGCATGCTGGAGCACTAAAGCAATGGAAGCAACAATTATGCCTCTTGCTCCAATCTCTGGTTGGAATGATTGCCCAACAGCAATGCTCAAACTCTCAATGAACCGACCAGTGACTGCTCTGCTGATCTGATGGGCGCACTTTATAGTCTTGATGTTCTTGTGCACCGAGCAATTGTGGCGGTCGGTTGGATATGGGGTGTTACTTACTTCTACACTACTTTCTTCTATTTGGTTTACTTTGAGACCAAGGCGAGTGCAGTAAAAATGGTTGGGGACTGTGACATCATGCTGGTAGTCAATGATGAGGAAATGTCAGAGTGCGAGCGTTCCATGAAGGATCTTGGCATCAAGGATGGCGATCGTTTGAGTGTCAAGGTCATTGCAAAAGAAGTTCCCAAGGCAACATGGACAGAGAAAGATCAAAATGCGCTGGAGATGCTGGAGAAGTTGAATGAAGGAGTAATCAAGGTGAATTACCATGAACTCCTGAACTTGCGTGAGAAAAAGGCAAAGTTCCAGCGGGAGAATGAGAGTGATGAGGGCAGTAGTGACGATGCCGAACAGTCTGACCACTACTACAACGAGTTTGTCAAGTTCCTTCACAGTAGATATGCCAAGGGCCCCTCAGACTTCAATGATTATGCAGTCAAGGTCTTGCTCTTCCAACCGAAGGGTGACTTCATTCTTTCAGCGCCTTTGGAGAACCCACGGATTGAGGTCGGCCAATTCAAGGAGTTGGTGTTGGAAAAGGTCTACTTTGACTACATGCTCCTTCATTTTGTTTGATGGTGGCGATCGTTTGGAGGAGGACATCTACCTTGACCGCTTGCTGAATTGGGGTGATACCGAATTGTCATTGACTTTGAAGTTGCGCCTCAAGGTCCGTGGTCTCTCTCCCGGGGGGGTGTCCAAGCATGTTGTCAAGTCCAAGGGTGACAAGCGCGCTGCGTCCAGTGATGCTGCTTCTTTCAATGCCACCTACAACTACTGCCTTCAGACCTTTGGCAATGACACTTACAATGTCGGCGTTGCAATGGATGCATTGCCAGTGCCTAAGTTGGAGGCACTGAAGGAGCATCTGAAGGCAGGTTGGAAGAAACCCAACAGTGCCAAGATCGCAGAAATCCATGAATTCTTTCCTGAATACTAAAACCATGAAATACACCAGCGAAAAGATCGTGTGTGTGCCGTGAGCAAGTATGTGGAGTTGGTCACCGCTGATCTGAAAGCATCTTTTGGGCAAAGCAGTGGAGGTGGTGGCACTGCCATTGAAGCATTGCGTGAGAAGGTGACAACTACAGTGGCATGAAGAGAGATCGGTTGGCACATGTGCAGAAAGCACCGCATGCAGACGCTGCCATGTAGATTTCACTCCATGGCATAGCAGTGCAACTATCTGCTGGAAGCGACATGTCACATATAGGACATTCCACATAGTCTATGCATCGGAACCCACATATTCTATGTATCGGAACCCACAAAGTCTATGTATAGGAACTGTGACATATACCATGTATTGCAACCCACATGTCTGTATGGAGGGAAGTCGGTGTGGTGACGTGACGTTTGTGATGTCGCTATGCCATGCGGTTCTGCGACGCCTTGGTGGGAAATGTGTTTTCGTGGTTCCCTGCCATTGGGGAGCGGGACACATGCGTGTGTAAGTGCGGCGTGTCGCTGGTGAGCCAAGAGCTATACTCGGTGAAGTTGACGTTGGCAGACGACGGAGAGAATGGATGTGAGATTTCGTTGGCTGTCAAAGGGCACGGCTCGAGATTGTTATGTGTGTGACAAACTTCCTTTGGTGTCGAAGATGTATGTCGCAGAGCCTCGATGGACTACGCATCAACAGGAATCGAGCGCAGCAGTATCATGCTCACTGTCCAGCACAAATTCCACCAGTGTATGTACGAAAAGTGCAACGCGTGGCTGCTAGACATGGGTTTGGATGTGTTACTGACGCGATACTGTGGCCGGTCTCTGCAGGCGTTCCTCCAGAGCCAGGGTCCGACCCTGGACCCGGGGAAGAAGCTGCAATAAAATATGGGAGTGCCTGCGCGGTGTGTATGAGATGACGTGGCATTTATACACTGCGGGACTCCAGTGGTGGACCGACTCTCACTCGGGCAACATGACCTACGATGAAAGCACAGGGACCTGGTTTTTGATACACATAGAGAATTTGGCACCCGGACCATCCAATGCCTTTGTCGTCGGATGGCGGCGGCAAAACGACTCCTCAGAGAGAAGGCACAGAGCGACGTGCATTCCGCGCAAGGCTTCACTGGCGGAGCACATTGAGCCCGCCGTCGTCGGTGATACGTGAACTGAACTGGTGTCGTGACATGGCATGCTTATTCTGAGGCCCCGAGAATCTGGAGTCATGTAGCTGTCGTTAAGCAGCGGAGGCCCCCAGGATTGGGAACCCAAACTCGGGCAGAGCCATCCTTTCATGCGTGCAGGGCCCACTGGCATGAGAATCTATTGGAGTTGGAGGTCGCTGAGCAGAGACCTGAGAGCAGTCAGCAACGTTCTCATTCCAAGATGTGAACCTTGAGGCTCGTAGAGCCAGCGGGAGCGTATGCCGATCATGGCGGCGTTACGACAGGCGCGCGAATGCGCCAGAGTGATCGAAAACCCGGAGTGGGAAGTCACCGCTCCCAGTCTAACTTCAACTCGCATATATATATATATATATATATATATACATCCTCATTATCCACATCTGACCCACCAACACACCTCAACTCACACACATCAATCAACACATATATATATATATCAACTCACCCCCCAACACACATGAACTGAGACGTGCTAGACATCACTCATACAACCAACGACTCATCCACTCAACTCAAGTCGATCAACTTAGCACCCAAGAAGCCACGCACACAACCAACAACTCACCACTGCAACTCATCTCACAACTTTCAACCCCCTCTCCACAACACACTTCAAGTCCACTCACACGTTCTCTACACCTGACTTTGTTTCTTTTCGTCAGTTTGACGTCTGTGCCGATGGTAACATACGGAAGACTACATTTGTGGGGTTGTCCGATCCTTTAATCATAGATGTTTTCAAGGGAATTGAACGGCGTCAAAGCACAAATAGGTGTTCTTTGTTGTGGCAAGTGCCTTGCAAAATCCAACAAGTTGCCAATTGGGTTTTGCCTTGTCACCAAAAGTGCTGCCTACAATCATGATCTGGTGAACATTGTCGGGAGTACACTCCCTGAAATTATCATGGAAGTGGAGTTCACCACCTGTTTGGTATTCGGAACATGGTCTTCCAAAGATTGCAATAGCTGCTTTGGGGTGTGTTTCCACCCCATATTACCTCGAGTCGTCGGCACTATGTTGAACCATTGCCATTGTCCCATCTGATAATATACAACTCGATATGTTGCATCATTCGGAGATCCTCTTGACGGCACGTCGATCCACATCGTTGGGGTCACGGCACTTCGATGCTCGATAGCGGGCAGTACCACCATATCATACCCAGCCCAGACACTCCATGGGACTGCCATATATGCCGACATTGGGGTGGTTTTGGGGGTCAATGTAGGCATATATGGCATACATGGAGTGTCTGGGATATGGCAGCGGGGCATGGGCGAGTGGTCATGGCACCAGCGAAGGGGCTGGGGGTCCAGACTCAAGCCTGAAATGGGGCGACGTGTTTTTACGTGTCCTTCTGGGCGAAGCGACTCTCATCCCTCAACTTTCAACCAGAGTCAACAGTTGTTTCTTCTCCACTCACCACCGGCCGCCACCGAAAACGAGGTGACAAGAGGTGGATTACAAAGGGACCGACATACGATTCCAAAAAGTAAGTTGTCGGACAAATTCTGGCAATCAAGTCTTCTAGTCTAGCTACGCACGGTGGAGGCCATCGCTATTAGCTTGGAACCCATTACTACTAGATATATAACTGGTGCCGGCACCCTCCCCCTCGCGCGATCGGCGTTGAAGACGAACGCACGACGTGGACCAGATCGCCTCGGTGGCCTTCCTGGACACCTTCATCTTGGACCATTTCCACAGCGCGGGCATCTTGAGGAGAGGAGATTCCGCAGCAGCGGGGAGGAGGTTCCGGAGGCCGCAGCAGCGGGGAGGTGGGGAGGTGGGTCAGAAATTGAGTGTTCGACTATCCCAGTTGCCCCAGCTCGTTCGGGTCCTATGGTCCCGGTCACTGGTCACTGAAGCTCTGTTGCAAAGCATCCACAGCCGGGGAGGAGGATACACAGAGAGTTGAAGTGTACGGGTTGAAGTATACGTTGAAGTCGGTGGACCTTGGGATCTTTTTTTGGGGGGGTGACCCACTGACCTGCGGGGTACCTACCTACCAGGATCATCCAATGGGTGTCCAATAGACTACCCCACCCTACTTACAGGTCTCCATTGGGCACCCGTTGGAAGTGCCAGGTATCAGGCATATTAGTTGCTTTTTTGGGGGGCTCTTCAACCTCTGTTGGCATGTTTCAGCGTGTCACAACGCAGAAAATAGACTACGACTCGGCGGGTTTGCGGTTCGCTGCAGCTGGGTGTTGTGTCTTCTTTGTTAGAGAAGGAGTAGCTGCAGCCAGGATTGGTGGGACAGGTTGGTGGGGCCCAGTTTGAGATGGGTTAAGTGTTTGCGTGACCCACAAGGGGTGGTTAATGGGCACCCCTTAACCTCTAAGGGGCTATCAATAGACACCCTTTAGGGTGTCCTGGTATATATATATATATACATGTATACATATTGGCACACCAAATATCTCCGATCGAAAGGATTTCAAAAACCAACCTACTGTTGGGTGATCTTAGAAGAGTACAGCGACATAGAATTCCGGAACGAGGGTTCCATGTGGCACAGACAATTTTCCCTCAACACCCTTGGGACTCGGCGCACTTGCAGATCTAGACCCGATCAAAGTTTGATCATTTACCCAAATGCTCATGGACCCTCATATGGAGGGGTCGAACCCTCGTATGGAGGGGTCAGGGTCTCAAATCCCCAGGATTTAAGGGACCAGTCGGGCTGTGAACAGAGCGTCTGGGTAATCATCAAAAGTCTGAGTCACCTGGCAGACCATGGCTCAGGAATGATCCAAGGCCAGGCGTTGCTTCTAATTCTCTTAGCTTAAACAGGCCTTCCACCATGCCTATTTTGCAAACCAATTTCCATACAAAACCACTTGCTGCAGCATGGCATTCAGGCCTCCACCAAGCTTCGCCGATCAGACGAAGGAGACACGATAGGTGGCCACCTCCCGTCCGATAGGTGGCCTGGTTTTTGCGGAATTAAAGGACCGGATAACCCCACATATGAATCTTTACGAATCTTAAGTTTCTAAAGCACAAAGCAGTCAGAGTCTCAATAGCTTCTACAACACGGCCTTGTCAGCTTCCGACAACAGAGGGGAGAGAAGGGGTAAGAGAGTGATGTGCACGACGGATGTACGCGGTATTGTGCGCACAGGTGCGCGCAGCCACAACTAGCCAACAACACCAGCGGTTGTCGCACGTCCGCAATATGGGGCATAATGTACGAAAGTTGTACTACAAAGTCGCCAGTTCTCAGCTTCCAGCTCCACAGA